TGGCATGATGCCAAAGGGATGCACTGCCATCCGACATGATAAGCTAAACACTGGCATCTGGTTTTTGCGACATACGAAACAAAGGGGGGGGTGGCTGACCGGCGAATTGGCCAACCACACGCCAAGAACACAATTGAGAGTCTCCTCAAAGTTTTGTGGGACATGTTGTTTGGCCCCTTTGGGAGAGGTCTGGTCAGCTTTGGGTGTGCCCTCCAAGATTCTTGATATTTGAAGGGAAATTGAAAGCAAAACAACTTGCCACTTAGTGGTCAAATTGTTTTCTAAGACACAGAAATTTGAAGACGCACGAGGTTTCTTTGGTTTTAAAACTTTGGAAGTGAAGTTTAGGGAAACACGTGTTCGACCTAGATGGGAGGGAGAAGGTTGGATTTAGATTCAGATTTGACTGGATTTGCATTTGGATCTGCACGACGGAAACCGCCCAGTAGGAGTAGAGTTCGGGCCTACGGTGGCTTTTTACCGGACACGTGTTTACATGCATGTGCTTACTGATCCATGGACAAGGCGGTTCTCAGACTCAGAGGGTCACTTGGAGTCGTTCTCAGCTCATTCCCAAGTCTCGCTGGGGAGTCAGTTTCTGCACGCTGAGGGCCTTTGGATTTGGCTCCCTCGCTTCCCTTGCGAATGTCAACGAGATGGTTTCAGTTTGAACATCGATTCCAGTGGATGCGTAGGCATCAGCCTGGCAAGGAAGAACTATCCTCATTCCCCTCCAAACAGGAGACTAAAACCAGGCTGTAACCGGGAAAAAAAAACACCTATATGTCCCCTGCCGAACTTCATCTATGTTTGGCACTTTCAGCCCAACTGAAATCGGGTCTATGCGCCATATGCTAGGTAATGTCTCAAGTGTCAGCTTCCAGGGATGGTCTGGTCCCAACAGCCAACTTTGGTAACCTTCTTCCTGCAAACTTAAGGGAGTTTTGAAAACAATTGGCCACTAAAGTAACCTCCTCAAAATTTATCCCCTGGGTGGTTTTGCAGGGAAGTAGCCCCCAAAGCTCGGTTGCTTTCTGCTCCCCTGCTAAAATGTTAACTTTTAGTGGTGTAATGGAAAACCAATTAGTGGGCAAATAGTTAAAGTCCTAACATCCCTTGGCAAAATGCGCAAAGGAAAGTAATCTTGAGAGCCCCAAACTTCCATTTGGTTAAGGCCCAAGGAAAAAATGGACGTATTTCCAGTGGTGATGAATTCCTTTTCAAACCAACAAGGGATAATAATAATAATGATAATAATAATAATCAACATATTCTTAAGCAAATGGAGGCAAAAGGATCGCCCCAAGGACCTAAGCCGCGCCTCAGGATGCAGTTCCCTGGCTGCAGGGACACCACGGTGGGGCTGGAGGCCTGCACTAGGACCACATAGCGGCCGCTGGCGCCGTCGAAGCCCGCGATCTGGCCCGCCTGAACTGATCGAGGGCATGGGCAACAAACGGATTTTTGCCTAGGGTTGCTTGGGAAAACTATTGCGTAGTTGGTTGGTTGGTCAGTTGCTTGGTTGGTTGCTTGGCTGCCTCGTTGATTGGTTGGTAAATTGGTTACCGGTTGGTTGGTTGGTTGGATGGATGGATGGTTGGTTGGTGGGTTGGTGGGTTGGTTGGTTGGTTGGTTGGTTGCTTGGCTGCCTGGTTGATTGTTTGGTAAATTGGCTGCCTGGTTGATTGTTTGGTAAATTGGTTGCCTGGTTGCTTGTTTGCCTGCTTGATTGCTTGAGTGGGTGAGCGCCCATGATTTTGGGCCGCAGTTTTAGGGGTCACGGAGATTCCACACAGTAGCTTTAGCTGGAATCCCAGGAAATCTAGGCTTTCCCCTGCTTGGATAGCCTTTTCGGTGGCCATCAAGAAGGACCCTGTCTCGTCTGCAATTCTCAAGGGGGAAGGCTGATTTTCAGGAACCATCTGATTAATTTCAAGTGGACACCCAAAGGGAAACCACCCAACACAAAAGGACACAGCTGGTTTTTGAAAACCTGGTCGAATGCTGACTAACCCCCCCTCTACCAAACAAGAAGCCCTCTTCCCTCAATCAACAAAGCTCCCACCCACCGAATGCGTATGCAACCAAAGAACCAGACCCATTGGAGACCAACCCATTTGGCAGTCTCAAAATAGGCATTTGCACCCCGTTCAGTGCGGTTTTCCCTTGTCTTTAACTAGGTCCTCCAGTAGCGAGGTTAGAATAAGGGTATCATGTGTTTTTTTTTGTTTGTTTTTTTTTTTCCGGTAGTCTATTCTTGAAGGGGGACCCTCCCAACCAAAAAAGGGGTGAGAAAGGGCACCTAGCTGGGGGACCTAGTTAAACCACCCCTGAAACCGGTGAACCACCCCAAGCCTGGCCATTGAGCTCTGGCTTGCTGGTCAGGCCATGCACCTGCACCACGCAGTTCTGAGTGAGGTTCTCCACACCTGGGCCGTAAAATCAAGTGGCCGCAGGTCAAAACCCAAATCGTACCCACCAGCAAACATCCCAGTCCTCACTAAAATAGGTTCTAAAATGGGTGGTGCACCTATCCCAAAATGGTACCATTGGTTTTGACCCATGGCCAAATGACCTATGGAACTCCTTGTGTCTCCGGAGCAAATCGGTTTGTGTCAAGGACCCCAAAATAGCGTCTTTTTTTTTTTCCCCGTTTTCGCCCCTTGAAACCAACCAACTCCAACTTGTTCAAACCGCTGTAAGAAGACGCTTGTCCTTTTCCGAGACCCGCGGCCATGGGGAGAAATGCCGCAGATGCCAAACTGGCAAAACGCCAAGTTGAAAGGACAGCGGCAAGCGAGAGCACCCGCACTAACCCTCCTTCCCATCTTAGATGTGAAGCTCTTGCTGAAGATATGTCTGGCTGGTTCCAAGAACAGGGGTGACTGAAAATGGCTGGGTTGCTTTTGGCTTCCCTTTCGATACCAACCCAAAATGGGTTCAGCATTGTCAGAAACTCCCATGCCTGGGAACTACCCTGTGGCCCCGTGCTGAACATTGTTTCACAATGAATTTGGTGACCAAACGCACAAGGAACAAACCCTTTCCAAGGGGGACTGCCGGATACTTGACCGTATACAAGGATGAACAGGCAGCGCAAATTCGTGTGCCGTTCGGCTGAACCGGGAGCAATGCACACATGTGCACGGTTTCCTCGGTGTCATCGTTAGTCCCACTTTGTTCAAACTGTGTTGGTACAGCATGAAAATGACCCAGATTCGGACGTGTGTGTCCTGGCCTTTCGAGCAAACCTCGAAATCAATCGGCCAAATTGAGGTCCCTAGTTCTGACAACGTGTTGTGGGTTCATCTGTTTTCGAACAACACACACATGGCAACTTCCCTTACCCACAGACTGTCAGAGTCTCGGTACCCGATGGAAAGGCCCGATGTGCCACGCTACAAGCGCCAACAACAGCTGCCATGCACAGGTATTGCTAGCCCAAACGGCGGGGTGCAACTGATCAGAAACAAACACAACGATGTTTCCAGCTTTTGTTCTACCAAGCGCAGGTATAGGTCCAAGGAACAAAAAACCACCGCCAGGGGCCTTTGGTGGATCACAATGCGACCAGCCACGGGCATGGACGACGTTGCCATCCTCCAGCTGGACTTCATACCTGCCCCGATGGCCATCGAAGCTGCGCACGTGGCCCCGCTTGCCGTTGTGCTCCTCCGAACCGAAGCACCATTGACTGGCGCCAATTCTCGAGGGCTCGGAAACTTGTGCAAAACATGCAACCACTGTTGGCTTGCTGCGGGACAAATCGGGATTTATGGGCTATTTAGAACCTAGTAATCTCCAAAGAATGTGTCCAGATCTTGACTGTGGCTCGAACTGCAAAATGCTGGCAATGCTTCAAGTACATTCGGCCGTGGACCTTCTTCGCCGTATCCATGAACAGCTGAGCCTCTGCATGGTCACTGACACGCGCAAATGTCTAGGACAATTGACCTTGCAGGCATACCACATTTCTGCTCATAAGGGTTCTGAGGAGCAAAAGAGCTGCATCCACCATACTATCGGCTTCGCTGGATGCTCGGAGTCCGAACAAATAGACAGAGACTTCGAACCTCTTTTATACGCATCGAAGTTCTAAAAGGTGTAGCTGAACGAGTTAGCTGGCTAGGCCAATGAAAGCAAAGGGTGCCATCCAGTTAGCCGCTGCAGCGGTTTAAGTCGCTAGATGTGAAGTGGGTGCGTGAACCCCCATGGGTTGCTCTTGGATTTCATTTGAGACAATCGCAAACAAAATACCCTCAGCAAAAAACACAACGCACACACACACACAGCTGCTTTCAGGAGTATTGACGGTATTGATATCATTTCGCCTTGCAGCGGAGGCCATAGCCACAACCCCAGAGCTGTCTCCTTTGAGCGTCTCAAACTGGGGGAAGAACACCAGCCAAGGTTGTGATGAATGCAACTTGACACCCCCACACTTCCATTTGGACAAGTAAACATATGTCCAGTACCAGGCCCCCCCCGATGGCCGGTAATTGGCGTCCCGGGTGAAGTGCCGGCAATTGACCAGCACTTGCTTAAAAATGGTGTTGTAGTCACATAGATGTTTTTGCCATCATCAAAGTGCATTTGTTGAAACGTCACTTCAGGATTCTAGAGGGGATCCAATTGAGGGGTTGGACTGGCATGTATGATCATTGCACATGCAACGCGCGGGGGGGGGGGGAGGGGGGGCGACATGCTGGTGACACGCTCATATCCCAAAAAAGTGACCGTTCAACGTACATGTGCCGGCAATTGGCCACCCTCGACACGCCGTGACACGCCGTGACACGCTCCTCAAGAACCCCTCCCAACCTCAAACTTGCCCTCCAAACCTCAAATTTGCTGCTCTGCCCTTTCCCCTGCAACCCCATTCCAAAGGACCCTGAAAGGTCACTTGTATCATTGCGCAAATTGCACTAAGTACAGATGAGTGATACTTGATAGCAAATTGTTTTTGCAGTCACTTAGACATAAAGTGACATCGTTTTGCCCAAAATCGATGTGCCGGCAATTGGCCAGCCATTGGGGCGTGCTGGTAGTGATAGATTGCCTTGAAAACCAGCAAGGGAAAATGAAAATAACAAATGTTCTTAAGCAAATGGACCCACATCGCATCCCCATCTCAGGGTCCTTGGCCTTGTTCAGCCCATGGACCACCACCTCCGTGCCGCTGCGAATGGCGCAGCTGTCTCTGTGGGAGGATCGGCTGCGGGATCCACCCATGGGGAAGCCCATACCGCCCATACCTGGCGTCCAAATTCGTTTCTCTAGAAGGTCCTCAATTTCAAAAACCAACAACCAAAGACTGGGCACATGCCCATTTCTCCACACAAGGCTTGGGGGTAATCCGTTCATCGGGACTCTGGATACGCTTCCTCCGGGTTTTGCGGGGGCCCCCGGAGAAGGTAGGTACCTCTCAGTGAAATCGGGCACCGTGCTTTCCCAGGGCCATCGTACCCTCTCAATGTTCCCGCTTCTTTGAGAAGGCATGCATAAGGGTGCAGACCCGAGATCATCAACATAAGATCAACAATGTGTGCACTGGAACCCAAACCATCCAATTTGCCGGTCAGCTAGCCCTCGGCCAATTTAAAGCGCAAAGGTGACCCATGCCCCTTGGCGGCCGGCTTTTAATAATTAAGCCATAGCTAGTCGCGATTCAAGCCTAGAGTTCATAGCAGGGTCACACATTCAGCCTTTGACAAATGGGTATGTGCCAAAACAAGGGCTTGGACCCCCAAAAAAACAAAAATGGCTTGGGTTTCCTTCAGTTTCCCATACATTTGACTCCAAATGAAATACACCGAGGTACCCATGTTGCCGCCCATGCCGCCCATGCCGCCCATGCCGCCCATGCCGCCCATGCCGCCCATGCCGCCCATGCCGCCCATGCCCATGGACATAAAGATGTCCGAGAGGTCAATGCCATCAGCATCCATGCCTCAGCGATCGGCGCCGTGGCGGGTGTCTCCCACGATTCTTGGCAGCGATCGGGTGGTTCAATGGTCTCCATCGACGCTTAAGGACGCGGAGATGTCCCTGTTTGAAGGGTTGACCAATCCCCATCCACGACTTGGAACACAAGGGCAAATACATTATTTTGTAAGCAAAGTTGCCCCTTGGATCTGGCGGATTGCCTTGGAGCAGCGCAACAAAAGGGGCCGGATGGAGTCGATATGCTCCCATCTGCTTGATGCGGTTGCCAGTCATGAGATCCAAACATCCCTCTCAAATGAACCACAGACTACCAGTCATTTTGACCGAACCGCATATTTTATTGAAACCCAAGAGGGGAAAGTCAAAACAGCCACCAATTCAGTGGTGGTGGTGGTGGTGGTGGTGGTGGTGGTGGTGGTGGTGGTGGTGGTGGTGGAGTGGTGACAGCGGTGGTGACAGCGGTGGTGACAGCGGTGGTGACAGCGGTGGTGACAGCGGTGGTGACAGCGGTGGTGACAGCGGTGGTGACAGCGGTGGTGACAGCGGTGGTGATGGTGGCGGTGGTAGTGGTGCTTGCCGGCCGTCAGTTCAGCTCACCTCTACAAACAGGTTCAACAAGCAGCATGTCACCTGCATGCAGTGATGACACGTGGACATGATGTTGCAACTTGCTATCGCTGGTGCGTCCACCAAGCCGTTTGACAAACCAAATGAACCGCCTACAGGTTCAGTGAACAGAACAAAAAGCTGAATCCGGCCAGTCAGTCTGGGATCAGCTCGAACACCGCACGAGGATCGGAACTGCCTTCGCAAGGCTGGTTAAAAAAAAGCTAACATGGAAGTGCACAGACCCCTGTTTTCCTCTTGGCAAGGGCCTTGTTGCACTTCCATGTTAGTTGGTGGGAGGGTAACAAAGCCTGGGGAGAACTCAACCAGAAGCAACCAAACAACTCCAGCTGTTAGCCCTTCGGAAAGATTCGCCAACTGGTCTTAACTCACGCGGGAAACCAATGTTCAAGCTTGAACCAATAAAGCAACACCAACTCAATGCATGTACCCTGAATCAGGGTCTGGAAGCTCCCAGAACGCCCCTGTGAACCAAAGTATGTCCTTCAAACTAATATAGTTTCTTGCAGGGTGCATTCGATGCCTGTTGCAATATGAGAATATCCCATACGCTTGGCACCTGGTGCAGGAATGTGTCAAAAGCTGAGACCTTATTGGAAGGAGGACCAAAGGACCGCGGAGGGGCAAATCTGGACACGTGAATCTACGATCCGCAGCGCTTGCGCCGCGTCAGCCTGAAACCACTGAAACTCATCGCATGAGGCTAGCGCGAGTCAAAAGGTACCAAAAACAAACACCAATTATGTCAGCCCATCCCGCCATCACCCGCAATGTGCGGGGATTCTGCCTAACAAGCTCTTCCAGGGTTTCCCCTCAATTTAAATGTAGGATTGGTCTGTTTGGTGTTTGTTGTTGCTACTTTTCTGGGGTTGGTAAAAAGAGACACCAAAGGGAAAGCTACATTTAAACCCTATCCTAAGACACAATGAACGGAGCAGAAAAGGGCCAACAACTGTGCCCTCTTTATGATTGTGGGGGCATAACCCTGTCACACATCCATATGGCAACCAAAAGCCCAAATTCCAAAATCATGGTCCTAGGAGTCTAGAATGGGCCCAAATCCACTCCCCCCAATCAGCAACTCAACCCAACCAACATCAACCAACCCAACCGAGTCCACCAAGCCAAGCCATCGGCTCCACGCGGCTCATTCCGTCCGGCCCAGTGAAGATCACCCGGGTGCCGCCGTGTCCATGGCCGCCGTGGCCGCCAAAGAGGTTGGCGAACATGTTTGTCTGGTCGCGTGACAAAAACATCGGGCGGGAAATGGTGTTCCACACGGTCAGGCTACGTGTTCGTGGCTGGGAGGGTATGTTGCGTATCTTCGACCATCATAGGCTCGCTTTTGGAGTTTTTTGGATACTCTCGTGTCGATTACCCGCTCTCCAACAATCTTTGAAGCTGACGGAAAGGTTGGGAAGACTAGCTTGGGGAACCCCCCCCGTCCACGTCCATTCTTGTTGGAAAGAATGACTGGGGCGACTCTTTGCAAAGGGTGTTCCGTTCTTTACCCACAATGATCGCTTTTAGAAGAGCAGAAAGGATAGTAAGTGGCACATTGCGCTTGTAGGCAAAGATGGGTGTGCGTGGCCTAAGAGGATGCAAACAAATGGACTATGTTGGAGGTTCTGTTTGCCAAATGTGTTTGCAGAATACTCAGGTCCTCTCAAATCAAACTAAAGGGCATACCACGTCTGTCAAGGTAGATCAACAAATTTCTGTTGACATCTGGAACAAGCCTCGTTGGATTGATCTCCCATACGTGGGGAGCTCTTTGCCATCGAAAGGATCTGGTGGGTCAGTGGGCAAGGCACGGCAAAGCACCCCCATTGACATGATGTCCACCAAGGGGTTACAGTCATACCCCTACTGACCATGTGTCTGCACTCGGATCCGGTACCTGCCTGGTCTGGAGACATACCAGCAGCGCCCGCCTCTGGCACACCACCCTGCAAGCCCTCCTTTCTCGGGGCGCAAGGCTCGGGTCAGGGCCCACAACACAGACCAGCAGTGTCTTTAACCCAGTTGCAACCGAACATAGTATTAAATCATTTTCTCGCAAGGCTTTCGCGGGGCTGTCTTGGCATGCGAGGTTGAGACAGTGACTTGCGTGCGGTTTGAAGTTTGCTTCCTTCTTGGGAACAGGACAACTACAACCTCATAGGCAAACAGGCGCTTTCACGAACCTTTCGCGACCCAGGCAACGGCAACACGTTGAAAACGATTTTAGAGCTCATGTGACATCACAAAAAAAGCCACAGGTGGTCTGAAAGGCCAACTCGCAATCATTTGAAAACCGCTCTGGAATTGGACTAGAGAGGTACAGATTCCAAAAACAAAACCCATGACAGGTTTTTTTGTTGCTCCGGTCTTTGAATCACCTTAAGCCCACAACAGTGGTTTGTGACGCTATCAGAACATCCTCGTGCTTGAACCTGTGAAAGACTTGCATGTTGCCCGTCCCCTTCCGAATGACGCACCATCTCTCTACTGGCCCCAAGCTTTTAACCGGGCTCATGTAACCTCCCCAGTGGCCTCGTTTTCGAGTTGAAGGGGGCCAAAGGAGAATGCCTCCCCCATTTTGTCCAGCTGGAGATGAGGGGCTGGGGTTCCCTCATCACGAAGTCACGCTTTAAGCTCAGACCCAAGGCAAGGAACATGTGAACAACATGTATTTGTGTGTGTGTCTCATATGTCTGTACATTAATATATGCATAATTTGGGTTTCGAAACCGGGACCCCGCGAAATCAACAGATTCCCCTTTCAAAGCAACCCCCAAGAAGGGTATAACATCCAACCTTTATTATATATATATACATATATGATATCTATATATATATATAAATATTAACATATATATATATATATTAAACAAAAAATGCGCAATGCCCCCAGTCCTTGCCGAAGCGGTCGTAGAGCTTGCGCTTCTCCGGGTCGTGGAGCACGTCGTAGGCCTGTGAGGTGTTCGGTGCACCAGGCGTATTCAGACCCGTTGGAACTCCAATTGGTGCCCCAAAGGAGAAAAGTGGCAGTTATCCCCTGGCAGTTTGCCCTGAGCAAAGGAAGAAGTACCCTGGAGCCTCCAAGACTCCAATGGATTCAATCTCCCCGCAATTTCGGGTACCATACGCCATTGTTAAAGCGTCATGTTGGGCTGCCCATGGCTGTCCCAATGCGGAACCACTTGTGTGATGCCTGGGAAAAGCCTTGCACGAAAAGATCGAAAAGGATACCAACTAGACGGCTGCCAAAGCAAACCACCGCATTCTAGAGTTCCATGTCCTGTTTCAGTCTTAATCAAAACCGGCTATTCAAGAAGTCTGCCGACAAGCGTGCCACATTTCCGCACCTCTGTCCTTCACCTCAGGTCCACTTGAGCGTTGGTTTTTATTCCCTACAAACTTGCTTGGACATTATTCAAGCTTCCGCGGACCCTTCCGCATCCTTGCCGCGGGCCAAGAGGTCCCTTCCGCGAACTTCCGCGGCACATGTGTTTCATTGTTTGCTTCCGCAAACCTTCCGCGGGGCATAGTTTACAAGTTTTGCTTCCGCGAGCAGGCGCAGAAACAAAAGTCATTTTAAGTGAGGTAGTGTTCCGCCGCAGCTTGTGTAGGCTTGGGCTCCATTGGGCCACCCATGCTACGTGGCCGCTTGCCTGCAAACACGGGGCCACCCTTCCGCGGAGCTTCCGCGAAGCTTCCGCAAACCTTCCGCGAAGTACGCCGGCTGTTTTGGCCTTCTTGGCTTGCTGTTGGCATCTGCTCTTCGAGTAAGCGTTACGTTTCTTGTACGCAGCAACACCTTTTCTTCTAGTGAAATTGTTTCTCCGAGCTTTTCCATGCACGCACTGAAACATTTAGTTGTATATCAGCCACCAAGCTTCCGCAAACCTTCCGCGAACAAATCCCTTCCGCGAGCCTTCCGCATGCTTCCGCGCGTGTGGCGCGGCGCACATTTTCAATAATGCGGGTAAAAAAACCGCCGCTCACTTGAAAAACCCCCCACCAAGCAACATAGTTACTGCCAAACAACAAGGTATGGCAGTTCGGCCGGCCACCCCCTTACTCCGTTTGCATTGAGACAATTCCAGCCAAACTTACCATATATGTGTTTGTTCACCAACACCAGCTACAGGAAAATTCAGTGGAACTTCACCGCAGCCACCAAAGGCAAGGGTTTGGAAGGCAGGTGTTGTGAAGATGTCAGGGGGGATTTCCAGTGAGTTCCTGGTGCCTCAGTTTCTGGAAGATCGGGCCTCGGCGATGCACTTGAACTCCTCCTCCGCCTGCTCCTTCCTGGAAAACACGTGCAGTTTGATGGTGTTTGTGGGAAAGAAACCATCCTCGGATCCGCGTGCAACGTGCAGCGTGGGAGGACTTAGACGCCTTGCAAAAGTTGTCGTTTGCTGGTGGTCTTTGTTTAGGGGACCCACAAAAAGGTTGGTTTTCCGTGTAAGTTCACTTCAAAACCAACCATAAAGGGTACGATTGAAAAAGACACACCCAATTGTGGAAAGCCAGCCACATTGCTAAGGGGCCAAGCGGATACACGGCCTTGCGAACCATTTTGCCACATTGGGAGTTTATCCATTTGTAGGCTGCCAGTGCATTGTCAACTATCCAAATTCAACGAGCAAGGGATTCCATCCGATTCCCCCGAAAGGTCAGCATCTGGGACCTCAGCGAGCCCTCGTCCCAACATGCGTATCACCAATGTCAAAGGCTCAGGAAATGGGGTGGAACATATGCTGAAACTGGCCTGATTTGAGCACCCATTCTCAAGGTCCCGCCTTGTCGTTCCAAGAACTCCGCTCTCACTTCGAGAACCAGAATCTTAGATGCCCAGTGGCCAGGGGGAAAAAGGACATCCTTTTTTTGTTGGCTGAGTTTTTTATGGGAACCCTTTCCAAAAAAAATGAAAAAGGGGCACCACTGGGCAACTGGAGAATGGCACACGAAAAGGTGCCAGGTGTGACTGTCCTGGCCAGGTTCTTGTCGGGATGATGCTTCTGTGCCAGCTTGCGGTAGGCCTCAGAGTCGCGCAACGTGGGAAGATGAAAATGGACGAAGAGGAACATGGTTCCGGCTTCCTTGTGTTGCTTTTTATTAAACTAGACTAAAATGGGTGGTGCACCTATCCCAAAAATGGGCACCATTGGTTTGGACCCACAGCCATGTGGAAAAATGGAAAGGCATCCTTTGTGATTAGGTCCTCCGGTTTTGGAGGTTAGAATAAGTTGGTACCCCGATTTTGTTTTTATTATTTTTATTTTTGTCTATTTTAGTAGGAGAACCCTCCCCCAAAAAAGGGGAGAGAAGGGCACTACTGGGGACCTAGCTTGTGTTGCGTACTACAGTGTGACACAGCTGGTATCCGGTCTGAGTCATTGTGGCAAATTACACCTTCTTGATAGAGGATTCGCGTTTCTATCACAGAAAGTGGTCCTGCCCAATCTTCGACAACCGTGATATCCGTTGGTAGCTCCGGGTAGCTTCGGTCGCTGAGTTCCAACCTGCGGTGCCCACTGCTCCCCGACGCCTCGCCTTGGTGATCTGCGCGTCGGAGGCGTCGCGGGCCACGCCCAGCACCTCGTAGAAGTCTGCGGACTTCAAATTCGGGGCCTGGGCTTCGAGTCGAGGTCCTCCAGTAGAGAGGCTAGAATAAGAGTACCCTTTTTCTTTTTTGCCTATTTTAGTGGGGGGATCCCTCCTCCCCAAAAAACGGGTGACAGGGCACTACTGGGGGAAGCGCGGCGTTCCAATTTTCCGCCGGTTGGATCAGCTCAACTTGCTGGTGCGATAGGCAGGGAATGAGTTGTTTCATCCTGTTTCACTTAGAAGTGCGAACCCGGCAAGCGGTTCAAGATGCTCTAATTGGCCGTCCCATTTCTGGCTGTGTAAAGATAACAGTTGGAACCCTCAGCTTTTGGTGACCCTCTAAGTCATGAGTTGACCCCACCGATGCGTTGGACATGTAGGAGCGAAAGGGACCTGCGCTCCTTAGCCGAAGCCCTCTAGGCCAGCCGTTAAAAAAAGGCGGCGTGTGCGAGTCAAGTTCCCTCAAATGGGCGTCAAAAGGTAAACCTGCTTAAAGAATCCAGCGCGGTCGGACCTGGGGGCATTGAGGCCGTGTCAAAGGTAAATCTGCTTGAGGAATCCAGCGCGGCTGGACAGGGGATGAGGACCCACACGACAGCATCGCGGACCCACTCAACTCGCCCGAGCTGCAGGAGCCATGGAGAGATCTGCTAAGGCTGAAACTCGGAAAAGAGATAAACTTTGTCCTCTGGGCCAAAACATTGCAGACGCCCATGCAATCTTATCAAATGCACGTGGGAGGCCCGCGCCAGACACACAAAGCGAGGGAAGGACTGACTTGAACTGGGTCAAAGTGAAATCCTCAACATTATCTTCTAGGTTTGAAGGGACCCCGCCCAACGTATCTTTGAACATATGTTTAAACAGCCTCAACATGTTCATGTTAAAGTTCTCCAAGTGACTTTGAAGGGAAAGAAGCGTCGCCCAGCGTGGACTCGCTCCGCTTTATGGCCGGCTCAGTGCAACACGTTGGGCAGCAATGCAATTTCCGCATGTTTGGGATGCTAAGAACGCCAAGAGAACATGGGGAGGCGCCATGGGCATGTAACTTTGCCTGCAAATGTAAATGGGTCCCATGGATTCCCTGCTTTCCCTTGAACAAGCCTCAAGGGTATCGATACTCTCAGCAGAAACGCATGTACGTCTGATGGCAAGGGGCCCCAGCTTCAGGCTTTAGCAAAGGGAATCAAACCTTCCGTCCTCCAAAAAAATGAAGCAGCTCTACCAAAGCTAGCACCAGGAGCCGATTGGTTGGCTTCCAAACGCGTGGACCAAAAGCAGTGGATTGTACAAAGAACGTCCATGCCGCGTGTTTCCCGATTCATGAACGTGACCCTCACACGTATGAAGAGCGGTAAGTGGGCTGCAAGTGACTTGTTCGCGACACAATCATGGTCAAAACTGCTGATGGGTGGCATGGTTCTATGATAGGAATTCATTCAATCGTTGTGTAAGATCCCCGTTGAACGGCTCGTGACCATCCCTGCCCAGCCCCGTTTTGACCCTGGCGCACGTTCATTGGAGCCACACGCGTGGCATGCGTCTTTTCTGACAGGGCATTGGCATCTGGCACTCAGAGCCATGCCGTCAGCCATCCTGCGGGATGCAGCAACCTTCCGATTGGACATCTCCTAAAAATTGAACATAATGCTCAAAAGACAAATTTGGAATTTACTACTGCTATTGCCCGCCTAAAACAATATAGAACTGCCTTGCAAACAAACTGCCAGTGACCTGACCTGCTGTGTGACACTCTCATTTGTTTGCTAGTGGCATGAAAGGAAACCAAAAGGCCGGCGCTTGCTTGGCTTAGAGCTACGGCTTATGAAGGTTTGGGGTCGGACCAAAGTACAACCGCTGGGCCTAGCTCAGCCGCGTATACTTCCGTTCCGCATAAAACATGAGCCACATGAACCCTGCAAAGTCATCTCTGCGCACGTCGAGGCCTTACCTGGGTCCTCCGTCTCCGGGTTATTTCTCAGTTTTTCCGTTCTCCGGGATATTTCCAGGAGACCCTATGAAAACTAGGAGTTTCAGGTATTTCGAAAGCATGAATCAAAGCAGGAGTGCTTCCAAAAGGCAGGAGTGGAATCAAAAACTAGGACTGGTTCTTGGGGGAAACATCGGGCCCGCAATTCTACAACTCGCCCATCAACTATGCAACTCTGTGCACTCGAGTGGGTATACCACTGCTTTTACTAATCTGCCACCCTCCGGGAACTCCGTCAGTTTCCTTTTTTTGAAATTGCGGGAGTTTGCGATTTGTTGAAGGAGTTCAGATGTTGAGTAGTTTCGAATTCTGAATAATTCTGAGTTTCGAATATAATTGGTTCTGATTCGTGTGGACCAGTCTGATTCTGAATATTTATCAAATTAAAAGGGCTCCTTCTGTCAAGTAGCGAATAAAACTGATTTCTAGGGGTTTCTGGTGTGCAGACCAACTTCCACAAGTCTCAATCAATTCCTAGGAGTTTTACCTCAAAAAATAGAAGTTTGACAACTCCGTGTATTTTCACTGAGACCCTTAAACAAGTGGTAGTCTCCGGATTTTGCGTTAAATGTCAATGATTTGGAAGATCCAGGTAAGTAGCCATCAGTGCCCACGCGATTTGTACCTTTTGATTCGCGGCAATCATGCACAGTCTCACTGCAACTTCAACACTTCATGTCTGCACTCATCCCCTCAATTTTCTCAGCCAGCCAACTGTTGAAAAAGTGCTTCTTCCGCTCCTCGACATAGACCATTTTGCCGCCTTCCAGTCGCACAGGAATGTGGCAGTGCGGACGAGATGCCAAGGATAGCAGCCTCGCAGTGAGTCCGGTAAACTGACTCTCGCGAAATGTTTCTTTAGCTAGTGACCGGCTCAAAATTCACCCCAAACCGCAAAAACAATAATCAAACAAAACATTATTAACTCTGAATTCGCCAAGAATAACACACAAACATGAGAGCCCCCAAAAGGCTCACTTCAACGCAGGAAGGATCTGCCAATCTGAGGGAAAGGGCCCCCCCTCACCAGCGAGCCTGAGTTCCGATGAATTCGTGTCTGAAGCAAATGATGGCCATGAGATCCCAACCACAAGTCGCAACCGGCAAATCGTCTTTTTCCTTGTGAAAGGAAGGTTCACACAGGTATATGGAAATCAGTTGCATTGCCTCTAGGCTCATTGCCCTCGGAAGCGTTTTTGGAAAAGCCACAATGTGGCGCCTGGCTGGGTCTCAGCTACCTCTCGGCAATTTGTAGCTCGCACGTTGCAGTGACTTGTCTGTTGCTTTTGCGGACCTGTACAATTCTAAACGAATGCTCGAATCAGCTCGACATCAGCTCGAATCCAAACATTGACAAAGATTTCTGCTGTTAATTCCCATAGAGACTTTGGCCCAGAAAGGGGGGGGTGGCACAACCTCCCCTACCCTACTACACCCTATTCATAAATATTGCTCCGCCCCCAGGCACATATTGTTATAAGGGGGCCGCATCATAAATCACCAGGAAAAAGGGACTGCAGGAGCTGGTCTCATGCTTGTACAGTATGTTCATATATCATAGCAAAGGAAGCAGTACGAGCCTCTTCAACCAACATGGTGAACCAGTGTTAATACGTCCGCAGTTCCACAGTTTCCCGCCGCAAGTCTTCGTGACAAGGGCCCTTGATGGGTTCTGTGAGTTGAGAATGCGACAGTACTTGTATCACGTTTCCGAAACTGCTCAAACTGACTTGACTCGGTCGACCTCCCCGTCAACGTTTGCGCCAAAAACCAGTCGCAGATTGCCATAAGTTGACCGTCGCACTTACTCATGAGTGTCCGGTCCCGGGTTTGATGTTGATCCATTGAGACAATCAGTTCACTTTAAGGAAAGCCATCGATTTTCAGGAAAAAAAAATCAAACAAACAAAAATAAACACCATATGATCAGCACCAAATCCTGCTGTCTTTCCAAGCGACTCCGGATCATCCCGCAGAAAGCTTGCGGCATAAGACCTTGGTGCAAACGCAGGCTGTGTGTTGCCCTGGATGCTGCCCTGGTCCTTATGGCACAAAGTTCTGCCCGCCATATTCCACCCGCACGCTCCATAAGGAATGGCAGCGAAGGTGCTCTGTACATCACTGTGAGAGACTGCGTTAGTATGCTTTCAATCACCGTCCAGGGTGTCCCTCGGTACCGAATGTTCTTCAGATTACTTTCACACTCACGGTGCTTCAACTTATTGTGGGACATTGATCCTCTCAACGGTCGTCCGTGGGATGTCCCCACTCGTTGATGTGAGGAGGTGTACGACCAAAGGCACCACAGCGTATGCCAACTCTTGAACATACGGTAAGATGGGGATTTTACATAAAAACTGGTCATACGGCTATGAGCCAAAGATGGGGACCCCTCCAAATGGATAGAGCAATGTTGTAGGGAGGAGACCAAAGGCCCCCCCTCCTCCCCCGGACGCTTGAAAAGGTTCTCAGAACCTTCCTAGAAGGACTTCTTAGAAGTATTCTGAGAACCTTACTGGTGGGTAGGGGGTTCTTATGTCACTTCTCCTAGATGAGGTGCTTCCCAAGCTGCATAACTGCATGTTGCAACCCCGACGCCATGGACCCCACAACGCACTCAAGTTCACAGCTAAGCCCCGAGCAGTGCGTAGCCATGACCCAGGACTGCCTGCGCACAGGGTGACTGCACTCACAAAAGGTCCAGCACAATGCCGCGAGGAAGGATGGCGGCAAATCTGCTTAATCCTTCTGCAAATCCAGATGTCCAATGGTCGCCATCCAATAGCTGTGTTTCTGGAGAGTCTGTTGGTCGTGCTTCTGGCTTGGCAAAGCAACCCGTCCTTTCTCCGGAAGCTCAAGTCCCCCGAGCGGCTGAATCAGATAAGATCCACGACACAGCTAAAACTAAACACATCTCAGCACGAAACCTATCAACTGCAACAACCACACCATGGCACCCAACACGCACTGCACATCTGGTTGTGCGGCGGGATGGGGGAGGGGGGGCGGAGTTCCCCTGATCTTCCAACTACTCAACTGGGCTGTTCAGAGTGAAGGATTGGCCAATCCAATTTTCCTTCCCGGGGAAACCACTACATGAACGAGGCCTGTCTTTTCTTTCGTGACCCTGGGGATCTCGCGCACTGCCCTTGAGTGGCCCGCAATTCTGCTTTTGACAATTTTACCACCCCAGCCAGAACCCCTCATGCAAATTGGGCCCTTTGAGTGGGTTCCAAGCGGCTTCCTTTCTGCTTTCGGATGCTACATGACTGTCCTTGGGTGGCGACCTTGCCCCGCTAGAACCCATTGAGTCCGGGTCCCTGAGCAAGTTTGGGGTTCCTTCTGGAATTCCAAAAGAGCACCAGTGCCATTCACTGTACCTGGACCCTCAACCTACCCTTGAAAATGAGACAAAATATTGCCCATGCCCAATTTTTGGAGCGCGGTTTGAGCGTCCAGGTTCATCGCCTGGCGCACCACCTCCCGGTCTTGCCGCAGCTCCTGTTTTTCACCCCAGGCTACCAGGTAGCTATCTTCACACTGGCCACCCTGGCTGCTGGAGTGTGGCTATAGTATGGTCAGAAGCCGTGATTACAAGGGGTTCCAGTGGCTTGACTGGTTCTGGCGGCCAACCACACACCCACACAGCACCAGTCCTCTTATGCCAATGGGAGAGTATTTTGGGAAGGAGTCAAGGGGAATCCGGCAAGGTCGTACCCACAGAGGTTGCTCACCCCACACCAAGGTGCTTTCCCCTCAAGTCATGAACCTCCAAAAGAACCTACCCCATGCCTTCCGCCGCTAGGGCAGCTTTCTTAAAGGATTCTTATGCGGGTTCTTAAGGTGGATTCGGGCGTTTAGGCTCCATGTTTAGTGCTGTTCGGCCTTTAAGGTTGGGTTTGTTGGGATAGGTTTGGCTTTCGTAGGAATTGGTAAGATAGGCCAATCCCTTTCGCATTCCTTTTCCATCACCCCACCTTCTCTCGTCTACAAATAAGATGGCAGGCGGGCCAGCGGCGATGAGATCTAACATTCAAAACCCGGTATCAAAATGGTTGACCCAGAACCATGTAAGGGAATACAAAGGCAGCCGCAGCTGTTTCTGGCTGGGTTTGTCCCTTACTGTCAAGAGACGGCAAGGTGACGTCCCGTGGGACGCTGTGCACCGAACCCTCAAGCTTTAATACCAACCACGTAGAAAGGTGTATACGGACGATGCCGTTATAGCCGAACCCGTGTAAACGTTGTAAGGAAGAAGGAATGATAGTTACAACAGTAGTCCTGACAGTGCGGCGCAAGCAGTTGTTTTCCTCTAATGCCAATCACGATATCCGCAGTCACACATCAGATCTTGAACCTCAATTGTGTCTTGAGCCAAATGGCGATCAATGGAACTTGGGAAGCAACACCAACAAGGACCTCAGAACAGCTACCCAATTTCGGCACGGGGCCTAGAGGGTTTTAACATCCCCCATTTGGGTCGCATTGTTCATCATGCGGTCCAAACACCACAAAACGTTCCACTGGCCACGGCTTCAACTACGAAATCGTGTCGTGCATTCTTTTACTTGCTATCACTACACCGTTCATTCGCTGTGAAACATGCCGGGTTCGATTGTACGAAAAGTGAAACATTCATCCTCCAATCGAAGCACACATCCATATGCAGGTGTATATAATACACTGTGGCCACTTCACTTGACCGCCAGTGAACATTCCAGCTGCCGCATTTGCGCATCGCGCAGCTGTCATCCATAAATGGGTTGGCCACAAATGTCCACCATGCGCGCCCGCTTGTGATCGGTCTGCATATCTCCGGCAAAGAAACATCGGTGAGTAATCAATGCAAATCATAGCCATTCCAGATACCATGGACAATGCATAAATAATGAAAAGATATCATCTATAAGGTAATAGTTCCATCCATGAATATCCAGAGCGTCATAGTCATCGGAATATGTAACCATGTACACATCCAATCATCTTGGACACATGAATATAAATCATGACATAAGTCGTTCCACCGAAACAGTGTCGATGTGACGCAAGTAACAGATGGGGACTGGCCCACATCGTACCGCAATCATCATCTTCACGAAGCATACCTGTCCCCAATGGACAGCCTATGGGTACGACGGCGGAACTCCTCGTCCAAGTTCTTCTGGGCTTCTCGTGCCCGGACACACTTCTTGTTGTAGTCCTCTGGCAACCAGTGCCCTTTCCGAAGGCACCAATCCAGCAGGGGTGTGTCGCATTTGTTCGGGTCGACGGCCGAGATGATGGCGCTCACGTTGACCGCGTAACCATGCTTGCCAAGGTTTAGGCCATCCCTCACGAATGATATATACTTACAGTTGAAAGCTAGTGCAAAACATCTGAAAATAATATCACCCACCGGGTGCACTCGGTCCTTGACCAGGAGCTTCATTTCTTCCTTGGTGACATCGAGGATTCTTGCTGCAATCCACAGCTTGTAGAATGTGTATAGTCCCTCGCATTTGTTCACCATCATACGAATATATTCGTCACGCTCCTCAACCGATCGGAAGGCTCTTGTCCGAACATTCTCCGATTGAGAAATCTTCGTTATTGTTGATGGCAAAAGTATACCTTCCTGATCATGCTCAGTGATGTTGGGGTACCTCCTGAAGTCATTGTGGTAAGGGCAGCCCTCTCTCCCCTCGAGCTTGGCAATCATCGTTCTATCCTCACCACCTTCAAACATCCCCCACATCTTGGACAGCTGGAGTGCGATAAATCCTGCCATGTACTGAGCCTCACGCGGCTCGTCAAGGCAGATCGCCATCCGTTGGGAACTTATAATGTCCCGTGACGCCAGATCGGTGTCGCGGTAATGCCAACCGCCGTCTTCTTCTTCTGACGCATAGCCGGATGTATATCCTTGCGTGTCCATGTCGTCATCTTCTCCCGGAACTTCCTCCGCTTCGTCCTCATCCTCCTGTGCTGCCGCATCGTGGTTAGCTTCTTCCTGTGCACGCCTGGCATCTCCAGAGACGTTGGGGTTTTGGTTGTCCTCCTCGTCATCGGATTTGATGTGAATGTAGTATCTTCCGATGGAGATCAGTTGTGCCTCGCACTCCAGGCATAAGCAGAAGCAGGTGGGGATCGCGGTCGCACATGATGGACATATCCGGCACCTCAGTCCTTCCCATGTCTCATCATTCAGGATGACGACTTTGCTGACTTCGTCCCGGACCTCGTTGACCTGTGCGTTGAACTCTTCCATCTTGTTGTTTCGATAGAGTTCGCAAGCACGATTAACCATGTCAACGATGTAGTGCAGATTATCGGCACCTGTCTCAGTCTCCGGCATCCTCTCGCTGATCTTTGCGACGTTCTGGAGGAACATCGCAGCCGACTCTTGGGAAGAGTTGACAAAGCCAGGGCAGATCTCGTTCTCCACACACTTCGAGTACGCCCTCTTGATGTCAGCGTACTCCAGGCGCTTCCCTCCATTGCTTTTGCCAATCCAAATGGACTTGACCTCATAGAACGGGATCACGTCAAAGACCATGAAAGTCCCATTAGCCGCGACTCCAGCCCCATACCGCGCGAGGGTTGCACTGGGAATATAGATGATCGCAATCGGATCCCCTCTCCTCACGTTCCGTAGCGTTGTCTTCGTCGCCACGTTCATCTCATCCCATGGAGCAAACGCCCCGAAGTGCAGTGCTAGCCTGTTACCGCCATCGATTCCGCCGGGGACTAGCCCACAGCGTACGATGCTTGGCAGGTTTTCCACATACGTCACATGGAATGCTCCTCCGAGAGTATCACCCATTCTTGCGGAATACCTATTCGCCAGTGCGGATGAGCTCATGAATCCAAAATCACTGTGACCGGTTGTGACTCGGATGCACCAAGGTCTGTACCATCCATCGCATCTGTTGAACATCCTGTCGATGTCGTCCCGATCCACGCCAGCCTTGTTCATTTCCTCCCTGGCTGCCCTCGTGTCGTTCGGGTTCATGATGCTCGGAAACCTTGCTGCCAGAACCTGGAATCTCGACTTCTTGCTTCCGGATTCCTGCCACTTGATCACCTCCATGATGCCCATGTATCGTTTCGCTCTCGAGGTGTTAGGTGGGAATATGTCGTTGTTTCGGTCGTCAATGACAGCATCAATGTCGACCCATCCACCCTCGTCGCACCTGAAAGCACTTCCTCGGCAATTGCCGATCTTGTGTCGAAGGACTCTGCATAGGTCGTGAGATAGCTGGTTTGCTTGGTCCCTTGTAGTAAATACCGAGCGATCATCACCAATCCTGCATAGTGGAGCACCGTCGAAAGGAGCAATGCAAAAGTTGACACTCTTGCCAAGTTGCATCACGTCCACTTGCTCAAGGATTGCACCTCTGGGAAAGTACCTGGGGTCAACAATAGACGCGTATGCCCGTGGCATATGCACATCAATCATGTCGCCGTACTTCGGGATGTAGCACGGGATGGTGTCGCATCCCATCTCAAGCGTCTTCTTGAATGTCCTGCTGTCCCCGCACGGGTTGTATGTGAGGTCGACGCCACCACATTGTAGCTCTCCTCCCTCAGCCGTGTCAGCCATCTCCACCAAATTAATAGTGTAGCTGTACATCTCAATTGTTTCTTTCCCTGCTTGTCCCCCTTTCTTTCTTTCCTTGGACGTTGATGAGGACGGCTCCTCCGTATCCCCCATGTCTTCATCAGATGAAATAGGGTCACTGCTGAGTAGCTCACGGAGCACCTTCATCGCCTTCTCATTTCCAGCAGCCTCCTCAATGTCCTTGCAGTCGCCGTCGTGGGCCAGGTTCGCGCACTTCTTACAGATCCCCATATCTCCCATGCACTTCTCCATTGACTCCAGGAATCCTAGTGCCGCTCTCCGCCCGTCGATCACACGCTGCTTCTTGTCTTCCTTCTCAGTATTGGCCTGAGAACTTCGACTCGGGTCTGGTGCTTGACCAAGACCCTCATCTTCGCCCTCCGTGGCCTTTCTCTTGGAACCTTGTGCAGAGGGCTCGGTGATCAGGGATCGTGGATGTCTGGGCTTGACCTTGTTCATGATGTCAAGCACCTCCTTCGTGGGCACGCCGAGCTGTGCGGACGGTTGTTCCGCTTTCTGTTCTGGCCCGTCGTGTGGGTCACGTTCCCAGCGAGGTGTCGCACTATTGACTGCTCGAACTCCCTCTTGATCTTCCATGCATCCTTCCACAGTGGCAGTTCGTGCTGGAAGTACGACATCACCTCAAAGAATCCCAACACCATCTCGACGACGTCTCCCAAGGATTCCTCGTTCGTGGTTTGTCCCAGGAGTTCATACATCGTTCCTTGGTCGAGCACACTCTTGATCCATGACGAATATGCCACATTGCCGAGATCCTTGCCTATCAAGAAGATGGACATCCTCTCCTCGACTCCCTCGGAGTTCTTGCACACGATCACATCCCGGGATGCGCACAATTGCTTCCCGTGACCGTTGTTGTAGAACTGCGCTGCTTGATCCA